AAAATTAAATATGATTTTTTGTAAAAACTTTTAATTATAACAAAACTAAAGGTTCGTTTAGTCTGCTGATTCAAGTTTTTAATTCGAGTGGAGATGTGACTTTATGTGAGAGCTTTTTACTATAGCAAAAAAGTTAAATGTAACTGTTTTTGAGAGTTTTTTACTGTAGTAAAACTCAAATCAGTGAAATGAACGGGGCCTAAAATTAAAAACTCGAATAGAAATCTCTACAAAAAGGTCAAATAAGTGGCCACCTTGTCTACCACCTCAATGCCAAATCAGCTGCCACATTGGTGAGAGGCACTAAGGGTGCCGTACAACTTTGCGTAGGAATAAAGCTAAGGGTACCGGCGGTTGCCCTCACCACTTGACGTGGCCTCCAGTGTCTGTCCACTTAGCTTTGACATATGAGGATGTGAAAAATTTTTATTTACTGTGGGATCTACAAAATAATTAAAAATTTAAATGAATTACATTAATCTTCATCCAGCGAAGATAAGAGGTTAAATAAGTCTGCTAAAGTTTGTTTTTTTCACCCCATCAAACTTTGTAGCAAACAAGTTGAGCGATGTAAGGATTCCTCCATTAGGTTGAAGATTAAGACTCTATTCATTTTACTGATTTGAGTTTTTAATTTTAAATTTGTTACAGTTAAAAACTTTCACAAAAATTTATATCTAACTTTTCATGCTATAGTTAAAAAGTCTCACATAAAGTCACATCTCAACTCGAATTGTAAATTCGAATCGGCAAACTAAACGAGGCTTAAATTGCTTCATCACTTCCTGTTGAAAAAAGTGCATGTGTGTGTTGTCCCGCATGAAAAGTGGATGAGAATGTGAAGTAGTTTATATGCAGGGAAAGACCCACGACCAAATAGGTTAACCTTTTGGGTCAAATTAGACTCCTGAAGTGTGTTAGGCTAGTTTCACATGTGGTGTCTCCCCAACAAGTAGTATGAGAGCCGATGGTTCGCATGGATCAAGCGATCACACTCTATTACAGTTCCCACGTTGCCTCTCGTGGAGAGTTGGTGTTCCCACAGGTGCATAGATGGTGGAGCATTTGGTGGACTCACATGGTTTCGGCTCTCTTTCTCATGCTTGAGTTGGCTCCTGTTTAGAGTGTGATGCTTGGATGTGCCGGCTACTTAAAACTTTAATTCGAGGGGGAGCTCGGTGAACACACACATGAGGGAGAGATTGTTGAGAAAAGCGCGCGTGTGTTGTCCCACATGAAAAATAGATGAGAATGTGAAGTGATTTATATACATGAAATGACTCAAAACCAAATAAGTTAACATTTTGGGTCAAATTGAGTTTCTAGAGTGTGTTAAACTAGTTTTATATGTGGTGTATTATCAACACTTTTTTATACCAAACAGTATCTCTTATGTTGATGACTCGATGTTTTTGCACCAAATGGGACGGTCATCACAGTAGGGTCAAGGTTGAGGACATTACCCCCCCGCATGTTAAAAGCATGTGTGTGGGGTAGACCAATCGGTTCATAAATATTGTTTTTCCACTCCCTAGTCAGAAACCATAAGATTTCGTATATTTACTCCATTTGTTTTTAATAAGAAACATAATACTGAAAACAGTAAAAAAGAAAGAGGACAAGGCGGCCTCGAAAATTAACAAAACAGTAAAGAAACAACATGAAAAAAGCTAAAAATCAGCAGCCATCGTTATACATTTCCAGACTTCCAATTCAAGATAATCAAAGAAAATGGAAAGTTCTTAAAAGCTTTATCGGTCTAACAAATATACATACACAACAAATAAACCCAGCAATACCAATTAATTGATTAGATTACCTGTAATTCCTAGAACAATGATAATTAGGACTGATAATCCGGATAATGACATGACAACACAACTCAAAATTCGTACGAAGTTAGCGGATTTGAGTTTATTATAAATGAGTTTGAGACATAATCGGGTTGACATGATTTGCATGATTAATAAATGAGTTAGGTTATGGTTGACCTCTTAATACGAAGTGACACAAATCGACACAATTAACTATATGTGTCATCTACAATATAATGATATGTGATACAACATGAAAGTTTATATGACATGTTAAATACAAATAATTTTAATTTTACCATTTGTAGGTAAAATTTATTTATTTTTCTTAAAAGAAAGATAAATTGATTAATAAACATGTTAAACATGTCTTGACCGTGTTAAATAAATTATTATTATATTAATTATTTATTTAATATATTAATTTAAATGGACTATACGAGTTAACACGATTAACACGATTAATAAATGAGTCGTGTTTGAGTTGACCTTTTTAACACATTTAATAAATAAATCATATTTAAATTAATATTTTTTGACACAATTAATAAATAAATTGATACAAACACAATCCACTAACACTAACACGAATTGCTACTCTTAATGATAATAACTAGTTTTCTCTTAAAGTTGGCTGAAGAAGTCCCTGGCTGCCTCGAGGACGATCCAGCAAACTCGTGCCTCCGATCTCAATGAACTACGACTCCGACATCGGCGATCTCGCGGCTCCAATATCGGCGATCTCGGGGCTACAATCTCGCCGATCCGTGGCTCTGATCTTAGCTTAGAGATCGTGGAATCTAAGCTCCCTCAGGAGCTCTATCTCTTCCTTCGCGTAGAGATCGCCGAACCATACAGATCTCGAGCCTAGCACCGTCAGACGGTCGGTGGAACATGAGTAGATAGCTGAGATCTCGGCGTCGCCGGAGGGGAACCCGAGTTGGATTCTCAAATCATTCGACGCACTTAGCGAAGGCGTTCTCAGCCGGCTCATGCTTGTGGCTGAAGCCATTTTTCCCAAAGCCGAAGGTGTGGACGACACACGACAGAGACTCAATTTCATCCGAATCAGTTTAGGCGCCAACAATCGAGTCTGGAATCACAGTTCTCGAACTTCTCTCATCGATCTCCTTGTTTCTAATTTAGAATTTGTTGAGTTTTGTTTCTACTTTAGAGTTTTTTTTTTTTTTTTTTTGAATGTTGTAGTTCAAATTGTGATTTGAAGGTTCTTTGATTTGTTTGTTATTTTTTGTTCGAGAAATTATGGGGTTGTTCTTTTGCGTCTTGTGTTTTTGAGTTAGGGTGATTTTAGTGATGATCTTGAGTTGAGTTTGAGTTATAACTTGAGTTAAAGTTGTAACTTGAGTTTATATTTAGATGTGCACATTTAAGTTATGATTTGAATTGAGAATCTTTTTGAGTTTATGTTTAGGTGAGTCAAAATTTAAATTTATATTTAGATAGTATTTTAATAAAAAAACTCAATAGTGATGAAAAATTTTAATAGGGTATATAGATGGGGTTTTATTCGTCTTTTCGTTATGAATACATAGAAAAAAATCATCTCAATCACAATTAAAACGAAAAAGTTATAGCATTTTTAAGAATAGAAAAAATATTATTGATTAACTTGAGTTTGAGTTTATGAACTCGAGTTGAAGGGGAAACTTAAACTCGAGTTTAGCCCCAAACTCGAGTTCAAACTCAAATTTTACAAAAAAATATGAACTTGAAAAAAGTTGTAACTTGAGTTCAAACTTTTTCTGAGTTTCATTGCAAAAGAACAACCCTTATGTTCTTGATTTCTATTTTGGCAGTTTTTTTCCTGAGAAATGGGTTTATTTTGCCGACCGTCGTTGGTGTGGGTGACCGAATTTATGGGTAAATACGGTATTTATCAGCCGTTGTGTTGGTAAAATATCATTTTTACTGATAAATTTTAGTAAGATTTACCAGTAAATAGTGTATTTACTATATTTACTAGTAAATACAATATTTATTGATAAATATTATTGATAAATACGGTATTTACACATCGTCAGAATCGGTGATCAAATTTTTGGATGAACATAGTACATTCGAGTAAATACAATATTTACTAGTAAATACCATATTTATTGGTAAATATGGTACTTACCAATCATCGGTGACTTAAGTTACGAGGAAATATGGTATTTCTGATTAAATATGGTATTTACATGTAAATACCAAATACCGTATTCATCATTCGCTAGAGTCGATTGCTGGATTTTTCAGTAAATATCATATTTATAAGTAAATACGATATTTATCGGTAAACACGTAATTCACCAATCATTGGCGATGGTCGCTTGATTTTTAAATAAATGTAGTATTTATGAGTAAATACGATATTTACTTAATAATACGGTATGTACTAGCTCCCGGTAGTGGACCTAACTAGAAAGGGAAGGAGAGAGATGACTTAAGAGTACTTTTGAGTTTTAAATATTTTTGGAAATCTACGATATTAAATTGTGCTATAAACTACACGTTCTAAAAAATTATACTATAATTTATTAATCACCTTACTAATTGTTATTTCACAAATTCTCTTTAAAAAGTTCTCATCAACGGGTTCTCTCATAAAATTTAAATTTTAACCCAAATTATTTGGTGATTGTTTGGAAATGGGTTACAATTATAGTTTTTTAGTTATGTTATAATGTTTTCTCCCACAAATATTTTTAATTTAAAAAGTTACTACCAATAAATGCTCTCACAAAATTTTAAATTCTGATGGAAACCACTTGATTTAAACCATCTTCCAACCGGGCCCTTGGTTTAAAGCTGTCTTAGCACTATAGCGCATCTTGTGTTATTTCTTTAAGAAAGAAATAAATAACGTATTTTTAAAATTAAATTAATATATTTTAAAATTATTTAAAATAAATAACAACTTACATAATAAATAAACACATAAATAATTTATTTACTGCTAGTAAATTTTTTTTATTTTATAATTGATAAAAAGAATTATTTTCATATAAATATAGATTTTTAAAATTTTTACTACGTAAGTTAATTTTATCGGTAATAAATAAATCATTTATAAGTAAATAATTCATTTACAAGTTAAAGTATTATTTTTTAGAATTTACTATTTACTTAATTTCAAAAATATTCTTTCTTTTCCATTTCTTTTCCTTTCAATCCTTAAACCCAAAACCCCAGCTACTCCAACCAGCTCCGTCTTCCTCCACTCCAAAACCCAATCTCTCTCTCTCTCCACTCTTCAGCAACCATGTCCGAAATCCTTCTCCGCAGCTACGAGCTCGGCCTCCTCCGCTGCACCCTCCCTCCCTCTCCCTCTCCTCCTCCGAACTCCGACGACGCTCACAACCAACACCCTCTCCACTCGCTTGTCACCGACCTCCTCGCCTCCATCGAAGCCGGTCGCTACCTCGAAGTCCTCACTTCCCCCGCCGCTTCCCGTCTTGTCTTCGGACTAGACTCCACGCAGTCGCCGCTCGACGACTCCGCCGTGTGCGCCGACCTCGTCTACTCCGAGTTCCTCGGGCGAGCGGAATCGTTCTTGGGAGAAGATGACGGGGAAAAGGGCGTCAGAGTTGCGGTGGTGATGTGCGTTGCGGTCGCGGCGTTTCTAGGATTCGTGCAATGTAACATGATCGGGTGAGCCTACTTTCATTTCCGATCTTTGATTGTATTTTAGGGTTGTTTTTCTTTTGGTTAAATTTCGGAAATTGCGTTGATTTTAGGCCATTGGGAGGATTGCCAAAGTGCCCTTTGCCGTTGGGAGCGAGCATTGAATTTGAATTAGGAGAGTGGGACAATTGGGCGCGTAATCAGCTCATGTCTTCTGGTTCTGACTTGCTGGGAAAGTTGTCCAATCTCCAGGTACATTTTATTTTGGGAAAAAAAACAAAACTTTATAAACACACAATGTATTATGAAGCACAAAGCAAAGAGAAAGAAGAACATAAAAATGGAAAATGACCGAGAGAACAAGTGAAAAAAAGAAAAAAATGAATGATTAACAATCAGCGAATGCCCGCGCCGTAACCAAATCTGAAAACTGCAATCACTAAAGTCCTGATCTTCATGCAACCAAATTGCCATTGTAATTGCAGGAAAAAGTCGATTTATATATATATATATATATAAAACTGCAATCACTAAAGTCCTGATCTTCATGCAACCAAATTGCCATTGTAATTGCAGGAAAAAGTCGATTTATATATATATATATATATATATATATATAACGTATCAGCGAATTTTATGAACTGCTTAACCAATAGTGCTGTGACAGTTTTATTGGTTAACTTATAAATACATGAGAATTTTATGCATAAGGGTTAGTTTCTGATGGTTATTGAAACTGAAAATCTGGATAAACATTTCATTGCCAAATACTTCACAGCTTACAGCTGGGTAGATGATCTTGAATGTAATAATCACTCCTATACTTCTTTCTGATTATAGTCCCAGAAATACTCAAATCTGATTTTTACTTTATTATTATTATTAAAATTATTATAGTTACAATTACTATTATTGTTGTTGTTGTTACTTATAACGAAACTCTGTAATTTGGTAGCCTTGATTTTGTGTCCAAGTTACATTGTTCTTCAAATTGTTGAATTATTAAAATGTGTCTACAGTGTTTTCTGCGGGTGGCCTTTGTTAGTTGTTTATTTGTTTTAAGTTTGACATGAGTTGTCCTTTGTTGTCTTGAAGTACATTGTCTTTGCCAAGATGTTGCTCATGAGGACTAAAGATTTGTTATCCGAAGGGTTTAGGAGCATTTCGTGGTGGCTTTCTAGGGTAATACTTACTCAGCAGAGAATTATGGATGATCGATCTTCTTCATTATTTGATCTCTTGCAAGTCTTTACACGGGAAACTTTAAATCATTTCGGCACATTGGATAAATTAACAAGTTATTGGGGTGCTAGTTTGCATAACGCTGAGGGTTTAACAATAGTCTCGATGGTTCATTTGGAAGCTGGTATAATGGAATATACCTATGGGCGAGTTGATTCATGCAGGTGAATCTATATAGATATATTATCTATGTATTTATTTATTTTCAATTTTTGTGTCTTATATTGATATAGTACCAGATCCTTAATTCTCTGGTGGCAGCTCTTGCTTATATTGACTTGCATATGATTCAAGTAGAAGTTTTACTTCTTAATGGAAAGTGTTATCTTGCGATGATTCTTTTTGTTGCCTTTTCTTTTTCCTGTTGGTGTTTTTCTGATTTTTTGTATAAGACACGTTGTTACCTTTTCTGTAAATTAGAGGAACAAGAGTTTGATGTTTTGTTTTGGTGGTTCAGTTAAGGATTATTTAGTATAAGAGATCGGATTATATAGTATAAGAGATTTAATAGACCAAAGAGCTTTTTCAAAGGTTGTTATTCTTCTAAAGGGGTTCACTAATAATGTTTCCTTATCTAATGGGCTTTATTTCTGAATCCTTATCAAAGTTGAAATTGAACAGCGGAGCTTTCTATTATCTAATCTTTGTTTTTGTTTGACCAACCTTTTATGTAGTTGATTAATTGAAGTTTTCTTTGTGTCATTTGTAACTTTCCATCTCCATTTGTAACCAAAACACGTTAAAGGCTCTAGTTTTTACAGTAAATCCTTAATATTTAAGCCAGTTTAGTTCCCGAAGCTGTAGTTGCTAAAGACTTTGTCGTATTTAGATGATAAGTTCAAGAGTCATTTCTTTGTGATCAAGTTATTCTTGGGCTTCTTTATGATCTTTGCTGTCATTAGAGTTTGGAATGATTATCTTTTATGGATTAGAAACATGTTCTAACTCTCTTAGGAAAGGGGGTTATTTGGCTTGGTTGGTTAGTTGACTTCTGGTCTCCTTATGGTTTTCCATTATTCTCTGTCTCAATAAAGTTTTCCTCTCATAAACAAGTTAGAATATAAAAAAAGAGGTAGAAGATGGTGAAGGGTGTTTATGGTGATAGTGATACAGAATGATATTGGTTTGGCAAGAGAAAATGAAAGTTTTGCTTAAGAATCTAACTATGCCCTTTTAAGTTTTAAGTGACATTCTTTTCTTCTCTCTTTCTAGTCTCTACAGCTCTTGAACCTCTGACCTTGTGAAAGGATGTACCTCATCCAACCGCATAGGCTACAGAGAGGGTACTATGACTCTTATGATGCTACAGAGTACAGTCTATAGAATAGTGAGTATATTGCAAATGAAGTTGTAATTGGGGGTTCAAATTGCATTGCAGGTCTGTAAAAGCTCCGTTGCCTGTATAATGAAGCTGCTTTCTTGTGCTAGGGATTTGAAACATTTTCAGCTTTAATTACTTTAATGCAGTTAGTGTACGTAGTTCATAACTCTATATGGTGAATGTATTAGCTGGACACTCCTATCTTCTACCCACTTCATTCTCTTATACTTTGACAGTTCTGTTTGAATGTATCAGCTGGTGATGATTATATCACTGTGCGTCACTGTTTTTGGAAAAACCTGCTGGTTTTGGATCAAGTAAGATGGCTAGAGTATTGTGGAAGAGCATTGTCATCTTTTTGTTTTGGATGATTTGACTTGAAAGAGATGCTATGGTTTTTTAGGATATGGAGATGGAGATAGTGGACCTGTTTGATAAAGCATGGTTTTCTGCTTCCTTCTGGGCTTCTACAGATGAAGTTTTTAAGGATTTTCCTTTGATATTGCTAAGTCGGGAGGATGTCTTGATTTAAATGTTTGGAGTTTTGTACCGAGTGTATTTTGGTTCTGTGTTGGTTTCCTATTTTGTTGTATTTTCTTTGATGGATTCCTCATCCATATTCTCATTAATAAAAATTTTCAGTTATAAAAAAAAAGGATTTTCCTTTTTTGTTGATTGTTTTGTATTGGAAGAATTGATTATATATATACATATTGGTTTGTTTTTTGTTTTAAATTGTTATCAGCTTTATTATTTCTGTCAGCTTTATTTTCTCCATGTTATTGAGGACTTCTTGTTCTCACTTTCCTTTGTAATTGATTGTTATCAATGAAAGGTGGTTTCTTAGCAAAGAAAATTTGAACATTGATAATCCGACCTGTTCTTCCCTCCTCCTGACAGATGTTTGTTGTACCAGGTTACATTTTGAGTCAGCTGAAGCAGCAGCTGGTCTTGAGCTTTCTGTGACCGGTGTACTTGGCTTCCGTACTTTATATCAGGTTACCCTTTTAAGCGTGTTATTATGATTGTTTGGTTCTGAATTATATTTGTTAGCCTGACACACTGGTCTATAAAATAGGTAGAACCGAAGGCACAAATGGTACTTGTTGCAAACAGAATCTCATCTAACAGTGACGAGAACTGTCAATTGGCTAGCAGTAGACCCCATAAACAAGACTCAGATAATGATGATAAAAGTTCAAATCTACATCAAAGTGGAACCCATGAGGCCTCTGACATTTTGATAACCCCGAAACTGTTGGAGAATGACAATGGATCTGGAATTAGAGAAGAAGCCATTCAAGTTGGTGGCACCGCTGCCCCATTGAGTGCAATCCATCAGGCAGTCATCCTGGCTAAATGTCTTCTAATTGAGAAGAGCACCCGACATGATGATATGCAGAGTAAGTTAAACATTTGTGTAAATATAGCCATCTCTTTCTCCCCATGGGACAAATTAAGTGGAGGTGTTTCTTGGCTACAAGAACTGCCGGTGCTTTTATTTCTGGCGTAAACTTGCACATATAAGTTTTGATCTTTAATTTACTGCAAAAGAAAATGTTCACTGCATTTACAGGCTTTCAATGATATCCCATTTGTTACCCAGCGTAAATAATAGATTAAGATGCAAGAGTGGCTGCTTTTTTTGTTTTTTTTTTTTGTCTTTTTTGTCTTTTTTGTCCTTTTTTTTTTTTTTTGAGGTTACTAGGTTTAACATGTTCACCATTTATGGCTTGCATAATGGTAATTACAAACACACTGACGTTGATAGGAAAATTGATTCTATTCTAAATAGTAAATAATATTCGCTACAAATTATATTATTAATAATGCCCAAAATATTGTTCTGCCTTCTTTCTCTCTCTCCCACTCCCTCCAACCCTCTCTTTATTTACGTGTGTGTGCCCGTGCACGTGTGTATGTGGTGTGGGATGATGGGTTTATTGCAACTTTTTTCTGGTTGGTGTGGGCTTTCCTCTTTTCCTTTTGATTTCTAAGAATTATTATCTTTTTTTTTTAATGAGTTAGCTCTAATTGTTTCCTTCTTTCTCTTGCATGGTAGATTTCTTGTCTTCTAGACTTTGTAGTCACTAGTCAGCCTTTTGCTAGCTTCCGTAATTCAGGCAGCAGAACAGATTATATTCTGCAAATATGTAGGGCCTGTTTTTGATCATTCAATTTCTTAACATTTGTTTCAGGCTGGGATATGGCTCCATATATAGAAGCAATTGATTCTCAACAAGCATCATGCTTTACTGTAAGTCAAGAAGTAAACTCAAGTAAAATGTTATTTGTTTAGTAAAACAAGATTTTGATTCTTCCGTTGATAAGCATAGTGCAATAAACCAAGTTTAAGCGTGCTGCTTAAATTCTTGTTAGTTGTCTTTAATAGTAGTGATGAGGTTCACCTCCATCGAGAATTCTTTTTGGTCTCTGTTTACATGGGAGTTATTTTACCTATATCTTCTGACGTTAAAACTTCACATTTCCAAGATGCTTTTCATCAAAGGCCAAAATTTCTGCTAGAGTTTGTTGAGTTGGACAGACCTTTTGCAATGTTCTGGTTTTGTTCCATTATTTTGTTTGTTGAGGAAAGCTTGTCCTCTCTGACCTTCTGTAATTTTGCTCTCTCTCTCTCTCTCTCTCAATTACAATATCTGGTTGTTATCTAAAACAGTTTTATATTATGTATTTTTTCTTTCTCTCAATTACAATTTCTGGTTGTTATCTAAAACAGTTTTATATTATGTATTTTTTCTTTTATCATAACATTGTCTTTTTTTTTCAAAAAAAAAAACGGATCTTTTTTGTAAGGTCTACATTTCTCTTGCAAAAATACGCTGTAATACAAAATGACAAGAGAAACAAACTAAGGAGAACAAAAAAGGACCAAAAGAATTAAAATAGAATGTGCTGCAAATACCCTAATTGAAGGCAATTGTATTTCCATAAGACTTAGAAATGGAAAGAGATACAAAGAAACAAAGAAAATCATAGCAGTAGAAAACTGCAGACCTTCGCCTGTGTTGCCGGTCACACTTCAAGTCTTTTTTTTTTTTTTTTCATCATCATAATCATCATCATTATTATTATTATTATTATTATTATTATTATTATTATTATTATTATTGGCACTTCTTTTAAATGGGGGAAGTGTTAGTTTCAAAGGAATCTTTCCTCTCTTCGTTTTAGTCCTTATTCCTAGTTTAGTTATGCAAAGCATTGTGGTCAATAGGTCATTTGACATTTTGACTTCTTGTGTGGATTCCAAAACTGATGGAACGGCTATTAGATCTAGTCTATTTAATGGTTCCACAGGTAGTTTTGCGTAAGCATGTCTCTCTCATTGAAGTTCATGTTTTTGGCAGTTTTCTATTTCTCCTAAATGTTAGTTGCTCAGTTCTCTTGATTTTCCACCTTCTTGCTTTGATTAGATGCCTCTTATTTTATCAGATTGGGCATTGTTGTGACATCTTACGAATTAGATGGGAGTCAACTCGAAGTCGTACTAAGGAGCGTGCTTTGACAATGATGGATAAATTGGTATGCTCCATATTCGTTAATGTCAGTTTGATCTCTGGATATCTCATCATTTTTCTGTTTTCTAACTCAGGCGCCTAAATGATTGTTGCTTTATTCCTATTCATTTGTGAAAGAAACACATAATGTAAAGCAAATATTCATGCATGAAAACTTTTTTTTTATTTTTTAAATAAGCAAAAGCCTTATATTGATGAGTAAATTCCAATACATGGATAAGGGGATGAGGTGTTGTCTGGAAAGAAAACCAAAAGAAAAGTTACAACAACTAATAAATCACATAGGATACTGACAATGCAAATTCTTGTTCTCAGAATAAAGCTCTACTTGCTAAATGGCTTTGGAGGTTTTCTAAGGGGGTGGGTTCTTTTTGGCATAGTGTGATCAAAAGCAAATATGATACTGTTTTTGGTGGTTGGGAGTCAGGAGATTGTTCTAGGGTGACCTTCAGATGCCCGTGGAAAGCCATTCAGTCCCTGTGTTCTTTGTTTCGGTTCCATGCGATTTTGAAGGTAGGGGATGGTAAGAGAGTGATGTTTCGGAAGATGGGTGTGCAGGTGAAGAGTCTTTTGATGTTCTTTTCCAAAATCTTTTTAGACTGTCAACCATTTAGTCTTTTTATACAATAGGAAATGATTCTTCTCTTTCTTGGAGTTTTCATTTTAGGAGAAATCCTAGTGAGAGTTGCGCGAGGTGGTGGACTTGATCTCTTGTTTGGAGGGGGTGAGGGTCTGTGCTAGTTTAGAGGATAGATGGGTTTGGGCTTTGGACGGGTTGCGTATGTTCTCTTGTAAGTCTTTTTCAATTCTCTAGTTGATAACCAATCTTTTCCGGCATTTCCTCTTTATTATTTTGTTTGGAAAATCGGTTCCTACAAAAATTCAGGTTTTTGGTTGGTTAGTTGCACTTTGTAAATTGAATGCGCAAGATTTGTTGCAAAAGAGGAAGCCATTCCTTTCCATTTCCCTGTGATGGTGTGTGCTATGCAGGAGTGATAATGAGACATCGGGTTACTTGTTCCTCCACTGCTCTTTTTCTTCGAAGATATAGTGTAAAACAATAGGGGAGTTCTGTTTACAGTGGGCTTTTCCAAGAAGTGTTCCTGATCTAGTGGGTGTTGATGTTTCAGGTGATTGAAATAAGAGAACTAATCGGTTATGGAACATAGTAATCTTAGCTTCTCTTTGGGCGTTGTGGTTGGAAAAGAATAATCGGTTATGGAACATAGTAATCTTAGCTTCTCTTTGGGCGTTGTGGTTGGAAAAGAATAATCTTATCTTGATAGAGTTGAGGTAGATGTTAGTGATGTCTGGGATGGGATAATTTACTGGGTGGCGTTGTGGACTTCGCAAGATAAAGGTTTCAAGGCCTTTTCTTTCTCGGATCTCCTAAGGGGATGGGACTTAATTTTGTTATAGTTATGTCCCTGTCGTAGTTTTTGTTTGTTAAGTACTTTTGGTTTTGACTGTTTGGTTTGGTTTGAGGACCCCTTGTCCTCGGGTGTTTTTATTTTCATTATTAATAAAATTCTCGTTTCTTATCAAAAAAAAAAAAAAAAAGTGTGTACATGTGTGTGTGTGCGTGTGTCTAGACATAATATATCAGTCTTGCTCGATGAACTTCTGGTTCTCTCTGTCTTCCTAACCTTTTTATTCTCTAATAAAATTGTCTGTTAGTAATTAAAGTAAAAGATCTCCATCACATATACAAGTTAGTCTGGCTCATACTTCTCGCCCTTTTTTCCTGTTTGTATAATGTTTTATTTATTTATTTATTTATTTTCTAATTTCTCTTCAATAAATTGTTTTCCACTTGTTAAAAATAAGGGAAAAAATTCGTGTTCAAGAGAGACTAAACAACTTAATTGTTTCAGGTCCAAGGGGTGTATCAACCGTCTCCAGGAGTGGCGCAAAGGATTCCACTTTGTCATGGAGTTTACTTGCCAACAATTGCTTCCTTGCGGAAGTATATCTCTTTCTTTTGTTGTCTTAGACTGATATAATTTAGTCATTTTCTTTCTACTTTTCTCTGTCTGCGTCTCCACAAAATTTGTTATGTTACAATGCTGGCTAGTCACCGTGCTTATTCTTCAACCTTTATGTTGTTGTTCTTTCTTGTTTGACTCAGTTTTTCTTTTTTGATTCATTATTAGGGAGTATGGAGAACTCTTAGTGCGCTGTGGTTTGATAGGAGAGGCTGTTAAAACTTTTGAGGATTTAGAGTTATGGGACAATCTCATTTTCTGTTACCGGTAAGAAAATCGAATACTGGCTATTGTCAAAATTGAATTGTTTCTCCGCATATGCTTTTTGTTTTTCTCCCCTTGATGTGAGTGGGAATTTTAAGACTAGTATAATGAAATACAAGGTTATTGGAGAAGAAAGCAGCAGCTGTTGAACTCATCAAGGCTCGATTGTCTGCAATGCCCAATGATCCCAGGTTATGGTATGTGTTATTGAACTTGTTTCTCGCTCTCCTTGTTTATTTTTATTTCTAGCTGTGTTTCTGTTGAATCATACTTAAACTATATTCAAAGGAATATTCAATTTGTTATTAGCTTCAATTGGTGACAAAGAAAGAGAAAAAAAAAAAGTTATTTAAGTCCTTGGACTCAATCATGGGTAGAAACAAGAAAGGTAGTTAGATAAGGGTGGAATCTGGAGGGTTATCACCATTTTTGGAGCTAGTGGTTTTATATGGGCTGGCCCAATTGTTGGCATGGTTGCCCGACTTATTTAGCACGCTGTGGCAGTCAATACATAAGGTTCATGTTGGACTTCACTTCCTAGCTCTATGGGATTGTTATTTAAGTCCTTGGACTCAACCATGGGCAGAAACAAGAAAGGTAGTTAGATGAGGGTGGAATCTGGAGGGTTATCACCATTATTGGAGCTAGTGGTCTTATATGGGCTGGGCCAATTGTTGGCATGGTTGCCCGACTTATTTAGTACGCTGTGGCAGTCAATACATAAGGGCCATGTTGGACTTCACTTCCTAGCTATATGAGTGTATGGAGTGCAGCCAGTGACCTGGCTACTACAAATTGAACTTACTAGAATTGTAAAATTTTCTTCCGCAATCTTTCCTCGACATTGGCCCAATTTGGATATGTGACACAAGTGTCAGGAAAATTTACGTTTAAATTAATGGAACTTCAGACATATAATATATATAAACAAGTTGGTGTAAAGAGTAACCTTTCCAACAGGGATATGTATTTGTTGTACCCCTAAAATCACATTCTAATTAAAGATGCAAAAAACCTGTCCTTTGGTAACTTCCACAGCAAACGTCTTGACTGAAGTATTGCTGACTTGGGTTGTGTTTATTATCTGGATCTCCTTTAATTATCCTTCTGTGCTGCTGTCTCGACGCATATGTCTTATTGCATATGAGTACGTTGAAATTTGGCAACTTTTATATATGAAGAAACAAATGGATTAACAACAATGCAATTTAACTGACTTGTTTAATGAGTCGACTTTGTAGGTGCTCGTTAGGTGATGTTACAAATAACGATGTCTGCTATGAGAAAGCTTTAGAAGTTTCAAATAATAGGTCAGCTCGAGCTAAGGTGATGAAAGTTCTCAATCCGACTTCTTTTGAAATTTCATGTCTATTTGTCAGTTTAATATTATTCTCCATTCATTTTACAGCGGTCTCTTGCACGTAGTGCATATAATAGAGGGGAGTATGAGACATCTAAAGTTCTATGGTGTGCTTCCTTAAAAGCTTTTCACTTTTTCTTTTATATGGATTTGTATATTTGGGGAACCATCCAGATATGGATGTATGGTGTTATTCACTTGAGTATGTCACAGGGAGTCTGCAATGGCCTTGAATTCTTTGTATCCAGATGGCTGGTTTGCATTAGGAGCTGCTGCCTTGAAGGTAACTTATATGACCGGTCTTAGATAATTTTTGCTTGAACCACAAAAAACAGAAAAACAAAAAAAAAACAAATAAACAAACAAACAACAAGCTTTAATCCCAACTTAATTAGGGTCGGCTATATGGATTTCACTTTTCCACGCAGCTCTGTTCGAAATTAGACTTTCCTGAAGGCCTAGATCTAGAATGTCATTCCTAACTACTTTGGTACACGTAATCTAGATTTCACTCACACAGAATCTGGGGTCGGCTATATGGATTTCACACAGAATCTGATGGGGCGTTCCCTACGTGCGACGCGCTATGCCGGGCCCTGGTTATAGTGTTAAATAGGCAAGGGGGGTCTTCACACATTTATGGACGTGTGCGGGGGGGAAAGCGAACCCATGCACCATGTTGGGCCCTGGATACGGTGAAAAATATGAGAGGGGGTCCTTGCACATTCATGGACGTGTGCAAGGGGCAGAGCTAGCCCATGATAGGAAAATTCGTTTAGGTAGTTGGAAAAAAAGAAAAAGAAAAAAAAGGAATCATTGTTTTGCATCTTGTTTACTCTTTCCTTCCAATAAATGAAAAAAGAAACCCAACTATTTTAAACTTACCTTTGAAGAAATACTACAGGCTAGGGATGTTGAGAAAGCTTTGGATGGTTTTACACGTGCTGTTCAACTTGACCCAGAAAATGGGGAAGCGTGGAATAATATTGCTTGCTTGTATGTTCTCTTCCCTTTACAATATTCCGTATTTTGTACTTTGAATGATACTTTTCTCTCGTCCATCTTTATTCTTTATGCCTTTCGTTCTGCGTTTGTTTTTTAATAAAATCTTCATTTGTTTCTTATTAAAAAAAAATGATACTTTTCCCCTGCTTTGATAACGTGTTTCTTTCTATGATATAGTTTAATTGTTGCATATTCAAAAATATGTGCAGAAACTCATACATAGTAAAATATACATACATTTGAACTTGAGAGAGGGAAGAGGAAGAAGAATATGAGAGGGAGAAACAATTTGAGAATTCTTTTCAATATTTATAAGTCTGACTTGATTATAACAGTGTAGCCAAGTTATAGGCTAATTACAAAACCAAAATGGGAAACTATTAAATTCATAAAATCATACACAAATAAGGAAAAATCAAATAAAAATCTTTCCGAATCAAATTTAATATATTTTCTATATTTTCTTCTGCAAAGTCAACTTCTTATTCTTCATCACGAGGCTTCCGGTAAGGCAGCCTAGCTTTTGACTTTGTTTGACAAATAAAACACTGATTTTTCTATTGTATTTGTTATCCTGCTATAGCAATTGGCAAAAATATTAATACAAAAAGAGAGATGTACTTAAGTAATTTGTTAAGGAAGCCTTGCGTCATCATCTACAAGTCGTGTGTTAAATTTGTGCTTTCTGTAAAAGAATGAACTTGCATGTTAAAACGACCATGAGAGAAAGAAGATAGACATAGGGGAAAGAACCGAGAAGGAGAAAAGAAGTCTCTGTATTCACTTTAATGCAAAAGACTCAATTGCTAAACAAACATGATTTCTGTTTTGTCCGAGTTTACGGGCTTTTCAGAAAAGGTATAATAAGAAAACACAAATAATAACTAACATAGGTGAGTCTTAATTGACGCTCTTTTGCCATGCCTGAACCAAAGTGTAAGGTGTGTGCATCACGATCTGCTTCACGTCTGGCTTGAACAAAAATTGAAAATATATATTTTCATAAAGGTATTGGAATGTTAAAAGGCAAAAAAAAAAAAAAAAGAAGAAAAAAAGGTTTTATCCTGTGGCGTAGAAAAGTTATATTTGGATTATGTCACTGAGGATTGATGTGGCTGAGCTCTGAAAACCACAACCATCTCTTCATATTTGCATTCTGCTTCAGATAAAGCATTTAAAGGGTTCCCGTGTTCTTTGGTCATTTTAAATTGGAAAGATGTAATAGGGAATTGATATGAGAGATTGTTTTGTATGTTTATCCTGTTCTTTTAGTTTTGGTCAGCTTTTCAATCCTGCCCATTTGTGTTTCTTTTCAGCTTGAGGATACCTTCTCCTCTGCCTTTGTTATTGATTTTTATCAATAAAGTTTTTATTATCAAATATATATATATATATATTTGCATTTCCCCTTCTCAACTATGTCTGTTTCTTGGGGGTTTTTTTTTTTTTTTGGCCTTTTCTTTTTCTTTTTATCTGGGAAGATGATATATTTTTCTAGTTTATTCAGTTAGTTAGTTTCACTTATCAACTTTGCAGGCATATGATAAGGAAAAAGAGCAAAGAGGCTTTCATTGCTTTTAAAGAGGCGCTAAAGTTTAAGTTCTGTTCACCCCCTTTTTATTTTTATTGATTTCTTTGGTCCATTGCTGACAAATGGAATTTTTAGTGACTGAAACCTATCTTAATGACCAGACGCAACAGCTGGCAATTGTGGGAGAACTATGGCCAAGTTGCTTTAGATGTGGGGAACATCAACCAGGTTTTCTCTCTCTCTCTCTCTCTCTCTCTCTCTCTCTCTCTCTCTCTCTCTCGCTTATTTTGGCAATTTGTATCTTTCCATGCATATGTGAGGTATAGTTTGACCATTGACGAGTTAGAAAATTATTTAAATTGAAAAATGGTAAGCCTTTAGGATGAAGTTTCTATATATTCCACAGTTTCCTGATTAAAACTTACTTTAAGCTTTTCAAATACAAAATTAAGGGGTGATATATGCTAAATACGATCTAGTACTACAAAAATGGAGACTGCTTAGTGCTTCTCTAGTCACTTCAGCTGATGCTTTATGAGTTGTGAGTTTATAAACTTATAGTTAAGGAAATATCGGAGATGTTTGGGAATGAATTAAATATTCATTGGCTTTGTGTTTTTTCCAAACTAAGGATTTTGTTGTTTTTTCACTTTCGGATTTGCTGGACGAATGGGAATTGATTTTGTAATGAGTTTTACTGATGAATGATGCTATTTGAGGTGTTTTAGGAGTCTTTTGTACTCTGTTTTCTGTAATTTTTTTTTGGCTTTTAATGAAGTGTGTTTTTTCTTTTATATATATATATATATTTCTATGGTGGGAATATAGAAATTTGATGATATGGCGTAATAAGAATTTAATTTCATTAATTGTAATAAATTTTTTACTTTAAGCTTTTCAAATACAAAATTAAGGGGTGATATATGCTAAATACAATCTAGTACTACAAAAATGGAGACTCCTTAGTGCTTCTCTAGTCACTTCAGCTGATGCTTTATGAGTTGTAGGTTTATAAACTTACAGTTACGGAAATATCGGAGATGTTTGGGAATGAATTAAATATTCATTGGCTTTGTGTTTTTTCCAAACTAAGGATTTTGTTGTTTTTTCCCTTTCGGATTTGCTGGACGAATGGGAATTGATTTTGTAATGAGTTTTACTGATGAATGATGCTATTTGAGGTGTTTTAGAGTCTTTTGTACTCTGTTTTCTGTAATTTTTTTTTTGGCTTTTAATGAAGTGTGTTTTTTCTTTTATATATATATTTCTATGGTGGGAATATAAAAATTTGATGATATGGCGTAATAAGAATTTAATCTCATTAATTGTCATAAATTTTTTTGGTCAACTATTCAATTTTAACCATCAGATTAATATCTTATGGTTAAAATAGGATACCCAATGGGTAAGTACACACACACACACACACACACACACACACACACACACATATATATATATATATATATATTGTGTGTAAAGGAATAGCAGTATGTGAGATATTCTGGAGTGTGATTTTTCATTTGATTAACTTTAGACCTCTTATTTTCTTTTAACAAGAAATTGAAACTCTAAAAAATAGCTAAAAAAAGAAAAACTGCTAAAAACTATAAACATCTTCCCTCGTGCATGAAAATCGAAAAGAAGGGAATGTTTCTAAAAATTTTAGATAAAGAAGCCTGCAGAAATGACGTAGTATTGAATTCAACCCTTTCTTAAAGAAAAGCTTAATCCCAAGTTCTTTTCTAAAAAGTCGTCGAATTTCTCTCAAGCCAAAAAGTCTAGAAAATAGCAAGGAGTGAACCCCTTCACTAGTCGGTTTGCTTTTTACCGATGTCCACACCAGAAACCCTCCACCAAATTGGAATGGCATTTTTTAGGAGCCACCCAACAATCCCAACTCTTTTACAGCTTTAACCAACAGGGAGTTAGCCAAACTACAACAAATAAAGAAATGCGAGCATTTTCCTGCACATCATTTGTATTAAGAAAGAAAGCAAAGCCAAGAAGGATTCTTTTTCTGTGGCACATCATTGTTATTAAGCTTTCCGTGATAAATTAACCAATCAGAAACTTTAACATTAATGGGGACTGAAGAACACCAAATAAAATTGAAAGTTTCAGACATAGGGTTAGAAGGATCATCGCACAAGGACATGAGAAAAGATTTACAAGAGAAAAACCCATCTCCACAACTTTCTATCCACACTCTCAGCCCCATGGAATAAAACCATTACTAATCCCAATTCACGAGTAACTAAGAAGCCAGATCACAAGTTTCTCTCTTAAAAGTCCACAGCAAAAATTGAAGTTTTAGCCTCTCATCATTGGAATCTCGCTAGAATAGAATATATTAAAGTATCTTGACTCAAAGATAATGGATGGAAAGGAATTAGCAAAAGAAGAGTAATGCCTCCGAGCATCCTCCCGAAACCTAGCTTGCTTGAGAAATGTACTTTCAGGAACTTCAACACTACCCTCTGGCCACCATCAAGAATCCCAATTACCAGCCATTGCTGTCCACCCTGTTCTTGCTATCAAGTAACAACCACTAGAACACAAGGGAATCAAATTGCTCCAAGAACCTCATGAACCATTTCAACAGAAGTGTCACGTTCCATGATATCAAATAGTTTTGAACTTTTATTGCTAATCGGGAAAACTTGATACCTCCATTTATTGGTCATGATGAGACCCAATGGATTACAATTTGTGTTATATGTGATCAAATTTACAGCGTCAGCAGCCTAATATGAGCACAAGATAGATTGGTAATTCCTCTGAGTATTAATACTGTGCATTAAAATATGTGTATGTGTGTGTGTATGCTTGTTTATAGAAATTAGCAAAGTACGCACACAGAATATATGGATGAATACTGGAGGCTGCACATCTTTTGTTGATCGTTTAAGTGACAATCAATGTGGTTATTGCTCATCAAAGTGTCTTGTGCCGTGACCGTATTTTGTTTGTCCTATCATTCTTGTTGACTTCTTGTGATGTTATTTCTTAATGTCTTAGGCTCTAGAATCTGTTCGGATGGTGTTGGAGATTACTAAAAATAAAAGAATTGATGCTGAACTATTAGAGAAAATTGTGACAGAGATGGAGGAAAGGGCTTCAGCTAGTCCTTCCACAAAGATTAATGATCAAAATGATCAAGTTTCTTCTTATGAGTCTACTATAGATACTGTGAATGAGTCAACTGGGGAATCTGTTGATGGTAGATTACGGGAAATCGAGCAGTTGGTGGATTTCCTTGGAAAAGTTTTACGGCAGGTATATATAAACTTAACAACTCTCTCTTTTATGCATCTTTAGTTGAATTGTTTTGTGTACTCAGCTTCTTCCTTCCAAATTTTAGATTATCGTTTACACTGCTTACATGTTTCTTCCTCTTATACTTTTGTATGCATGGTACTCAAATATTTTTTTAACAGATTATACAAACATCAAAATTTTGTATAATTTTCATCAAGTATGATACTTCTCATGTAGGCGGTTAAAAGTGGGAATGGGCCGGATGTCTGGGGCTTGTATGCACGGTGGCACAAACTCAAAGGTGATCTTGTAATGTGCTCTGAAGCCCTTCTAAAGCAAGTCAGATCCTACCAGGTATCGTTATTATTTTCTCAATGAGCTTTGATATTCTACTATCACTCCAATTACTACCGTGGAGCCAATTTGATAAGAACTGAGAAATCTTATTATTGAAAGCAAGAAGAAAACACGATTACAAGATAGATTCTCAGACTTTTGAGAGGTCTGCTAGCTCTCCCAAGGGTTCCCCAAATTCACACTAATTAATCCATACCCATATCCCTTATGAATTCCCCTTTTTATACTACTATTCCCCTCTAACAAACTACTGACAATTCTACTAATCAGTTACTCTTAACAACCCTTACTAACCATTCCCATATTATAACAGACTACTACCCTAAGCCTACCCTAAGCCTATCATTAACGAGTCCTAACACATTCTCATCCTGCCAATGCCAAAATCCCTGTGAATCTTGTCGGACACATTTAAATGGTATGGTGAATATCACAAGCATGAGGTTTCAAATTTTTAGCGTCTTTTCTCTATCTTTTATATGGTTAGTTTATAGAGCCTGCAGGTTTTGTTATGAAGAGTCAATATTTATGTCGTCTATGTTTGTTCTTGTCTTACAGATATAACACTAATTTGTGGTGTATATCACACGCATGTATGCCCTGATTTTGCTATTTCTCACACAACTCTCTCTCTCTCTCTCATAATTGTATACATGTATGCCCTGATTTTGCTTTTTCCTTATTTCTCTTAGGGATCCGATTTATGGAACAATAGAGACCAGTTTAGAAAATTCGCTCAAGCTTCTGTGGAACTTTGCAACGTATATATGAAAATTGCATCATCTACTGGTAGCCGTAAAGAACTTTTCACGGCAGAGTTGCATCTAAAGAACACTATCAAGCAGGCAAGATTCTCAAGAAAAAACTGAAACTCCACCAATGTTACTTTTGCATGTATTTTTTAAACAATTTATTTGGCTTAGCTGATCTGCTGCTTGACAATTTTTAAGTAATAATTGCTCATGTCATACGCAACGTTTTATTCCAACTTTTGTGAATGGAAAAGATAAAAGAATGAAAGATTAAGTTCAATTCATGAATCTTAGGCGGCGGCCTTCTCCGACATGGAAGAATTCAGGGAGCTTCAAGCTTGCTTTGAAGTAGTGCAGTCAAGTCTCCAGTCCAATTCTGTTTCTGCCTAAAATTGTAGCTGTCAGTGGTCTTACTGAAAACCCTCATGCATACCTGTTACGCCGGTTAGACTTTGTTTTGTTTTTGGCCTTATTTATGTGCTTATTTTATCTATCTTACCATAACGTCTTTTATGTGAACGAAAGGAAAAAAAAAAAAAAAACCATAAGAAATGGAAAGAAAAATTATTCCAAACTCATGCTAAATGTTTGTTATTTTTTTCTGATAGCCCCATTATTTTCAAGTGCAGGGTTGATATGATTTGGACGCTGCAGCTTTTGCTGGATATTTCACTCAAATAGAAGACAGACCACATGTATAATATAAATTGCAGACTAAAGCAGCCTTGTTCTAGTTATCAAAATTTTGTTTGTCAATAAATTATCATTTTTTGATTGCGTGCTGTTATTAAAAAATTATTTTTATTTCTATTTTTTGTCTTTATTACACCAAACGCCGTTTTGAAAACATTTTCTTTTTTTTTTCTCAAAAAACGTGAAAAATAAAAATTAGATCAATTCCAAATACGTCAAAATAATGTCTGCATTTTAAATAGCCCACGACAAGTTACTGCAATCTTCCAGCTCAAATAAAAGTCATTTTGAAGAGAACAATTTGTGCTCCCTTATTTCATTGTTTCAATATAATGCTTCTTGTACAAATATAGATTAAACGAAACGAAATGAAGGCAACGAAAATGAAAATCAGCGCCTCGGTACACTTTGCGGCATTCATTCTTCTATGAACCTTGGTTTTGTGCAGGGTCAATATCTACAACTATCGGCCAGAAATGAAATGTCCTACAGAATAAAAACTTGCATCTCAGAAACTTTCAAAAATTCTGGATAGAACTTGAAGATATCACTAGCCAAGTAACTTTTTCGATGTCAGCCACTCAGCCTATGAACAGAAATCATCTGATTTTTTCGCAATCATTTGAAATGGGAAATCAAGTCTAGTTTTCAGTAAGTGGGACTTACCAAGTTCATAAGAAAATAATCGAGTAAGCGATGTTTGTTCAAGCTCTTTGTAAAATGTTGCTACTTCGCAATACAAAGGACAGGGTCAGAATCCCGAGTCCTTCCATTGAGCGTGCAACAATCACCGATCTCCTCAGGTATTATTTACGCTATACGCTTGAAGAAATAATCCTTTAAGATGTCAATCTCACAGAAGAAACTCATTCCAGACGCCACTGCATCATTACATCAAGCGGACGAAGACCTAATTTCTGTTAGATGTCTCCTCTGGTTGAAGCCAAAGGACACCCTGCTCGATTCGAAACATACAATGATAAGTATCATTAATGTGAGAGAGAGAGAGAGAGAGAGAGAGATCACATATTCTTATAGAAAACACATGTTGCATAAAGACATCTTACTGTGAGTGCTTGTCTTCATGCACAATGATGAGCAAAGCATAAAAACATAAACATGTTAATGCCATCTTGTACTTTCTTTCGCATGAACTCAGTTTAGGAACAAGTTTTATTTATTAGTTTTTCTTTAATGCAAGTCTAAAATTCTTAAAGAGAAAAATACTTAATAGTGCACTGTCAACAACATAATTATTTTATCATGTCAAGAAGTATGAGGAACCAAAGAGCCATACGACTTGCATATCAATGAATGTTTTTCACAACCGAAGAAAACAAGAGACTGTTATGCAAAAGCAAATCAATGCTCAGGAAATTTGTAAATTTGAAAAATGAGACGAAGAGTTAAAGAGGAGTCAGAGGACAAACCATCTGACATATGCTATCCGATAGCTGAAGAGCTTCATCCCACTTATTAACTCGAGTTAGTCCTTTGATAAGTTGAACAAACGTACTTAACTCCGGAATTCCACCCCGCCTTAACATATCTGCAAACAGTTCAAATCCCTTTCCAAACTTACTTGTATTTGAGAGGCTTTCAATAATTGAATTATACATATTCCTGCTCAAAGGAGTTAAGTGTGTAGAGGATGAAATCTCCTCATACAACTCCAAAGCCACTTCCAGTTTTCCAGCCTTCACAAAATTATCAATCAGTATACTATATGCAGGAATAAGTGGAACTGAATCATTCTCACCCACCTCGTTTAAAATCCCGAGAGAGGCTAGGAACTCTCTGCTGTAACCTTCAATAACCTTGTGGTAGCTCGCCATATGCTTTGGCCAATACGTTTGTTTCATTTCAACCAAAATCTTATGAGCCTCATCCAAGAGACCCACAGCACAGCAATGACTAATTAAAACCCTGTAAGTGATAAAATTCGGAGCACAACCCTTGGAGCTCATTTCTTTCAGGAGCTCAAGGCATTTGTCAATTTTACGAGCTTTCCCTAACCCATCAATCATTGCAGTATAAGTTACAACATTTGGGTAACACCTTTTTTCTTCCATCATTAACATAAGCTTAGAGGCCTCATCTAGCTTTCCCACTTTACACAGGCCATCTATCATCGATGTGTAGACAACAACATTGGGGGCGCATGAAAATTCTAGCATCTTGGACAATACTTTCAAAACAAGATCCAGTCTTTTATCTTTAAAAAGCCTGTCAAGGAAAGAGCCATACGTATATATGGTTGGAGTATAGCCATGTTCCGACATTTTAGAGAACACGTTTTGTGCTTCATCTAGCTTTCCAGCCTTGCAAAAGCCGTCAATAAGGGCATCATACACAATATGGTTCGGTTCACAGCCTCCTCTTGACATGGTTTCCAACAAGTCACCGGCCTCTTTGACCCTGTGAGCTTTGCACAAACCATCCACCAAAGCTCCGTATGTGAAGAGGTTTGGTTGACTGTTGCAAACGCTAGCTCTGAAATAAAGATCTAAATCAGGGCTGTCCATGCTACCTTTCATCCTCGCATAAATTCGACATGCTTTTTCAGTTTCTCCAGCTTTACAATGGCCATCGATCAAAGCAGTGTAGGTGATGACATTTGGAACACAACCATCTTTTAACATCATCTCAAAGAGAATATTTGCATCAGATACTTTCCTAGCTTTAAGGTAGGCATGTAGAAGAGCAGTATAAGTCACCACATTTGGAGAACAACCATTTACTACCATTTCATCGAACCACTTGCGAGCCTGCTGAATAAGGCCAGCTTTACAAAAACTATCTATCAAAACAGTATATGTATAGACATCGGGAACAACACTATTCCTTTTCATTTCTTCAAACAACAAAAATGCTTTTTCCATCTTGGAGGAATTACACAGAAAACCAATCACTTTTGAGTATGTACTAGTATCAGGAACAAAACCTTTACTCATCATTTCATTTATAACACTGTGGGCCTTCTCAAATCTTTTGGCACCACAAAGACACCACGCAAAGTTAACAACATTCACTTTATTCAATACAATCCCTGCATTAAGCATCTCGCCATAAGCTTTTTCAGCCAAATCCAATAAATCTGAGTTAGGTAATTCTTCCTTGCCACATATACCACCAATCAAGATATTATAAACGACATAGCCAGGCTGACAACCACATTTTACCATTTTCCTCAATAATTTATAGGCATAATTGTAATCTCCAGATTTGCAATAAGCATTGACAAGGGAGTTAAATATATTAGGACTAGGATAACAACCTTCTGTGATCATCATGCTAAGAACTCTCTTGCATCTTCCAAGCTGTTTCTTTCTCAAACACCCACAAAGAAAAATCCTATACGTCACAACATTAGGCATACAAGAACTAGACCTCATTCTGTCCAAGAAATCCATAGCTTCGTCAAAAAGAGAAGCTTCACACAATCCTGATATCATCTTTGTATAGAGAATTGTATCCGGCACAAACTCTTCCTTCTCGATCAAAGTCAGGGCTTCTCTCCATTTCCCAACTTTGCAAAGCGCGTGGGAAAAACAGCCTAATGTGATCTCATCCATCCTAAACCCCGAGTCCGACATCTCCTTGTGGACCAACTGCGCGGTGTCCAACCTATCAGCTTTTATAAACACTTGAACCAAGGCATTGTAAGTTGCTCTGGTTGGTCTGTACCCGAAATCCTTAAGCCTGCCCAACTCTTCAAGAGCTACATTCCACCACCCATCTCGGCAATACCTCCGAATCAAAACATTAAGCAGTTTCCCAAGAACCTCTCTATCAGCATCCTTAACTTCTAGAAGAAAATGCTCAGGCACTCTCTGTTTACCATCACACTGTAACACTTCCAACAACGCATTATACACAGCACCAGAGTGACTATAGCCAATTTGACGGCCAGCCCATATGAAAAACTTCACACCCAGTTCAGGAGTTTGTACAAGCCTCAACACTTCAATCACCAAACTCTCACTCAGTTTGTCCCTGTACTGCCTAAGAAATTTCTGGGTTTGGTCACCAAATCCGTCACCAATACGACTTCTAATCGCATCCGAAATTGACACCGCAACACTCGAAAATTTATTACCAGAAAAGCCAGTCTTACCTTCTGAAGAGCCAGAATCAGAATTGGAATCCAATGAGTCACGCAAGAGGGCGAATTCTTCACCCGAAAAGGCCTCGACCCGCGAAATCTCCAGCGCCAATGGGTCCTCAGGATCAATCAATCCTTCAAGCTTTTCAGAAAAACTGGTGGAGATGAACCTGGAAATGATGGAAAAGGGACTACGTCGGAAATTTATGGCACTACTACGATTTAGTGAAGGGAATTTCGGTGGTGGGTTTTTGGAGAATAACGAGTTGAATCGAAAATGAAGAAGAGTTTTAAGCCCTTTTTTACTCGTCATAAGATTGACCGGAATTTGAAGGGAAAATTGCTTTTATTCCCCTTTATATGGTCGATATGAAGAATAGTGATGAGTATTTGATGCAGAAAAATAAACCCATTAACAATCTTGGCGAAAAAACAATTCTTGCCCTCGAACTCGGCGTCTTCAAGCTGATATTTAAGAAAGAAAGAGAAAAAGTTGGAAGTGAAAGAGAGAGGGCGTACTGCTTGTGGTGGTGGTGGTTGTTGACGGAGTGCAAAGAGGAGGTGGAGGCGGGAGGGGAGAATCAAGAATGAAGTATTAGTACAAATGCTAGTTTGTCTCACGTGCCTTTGCACGTGTGCAAGATTACCAATTATTATTTTTTAATAATATTAATTAATAATTAGCAACGAGTAATTAAAGATTAATTACTAACTATTTATTTTCTTATATAATAAATTATTTAATAATTATAGTAATTAATTATAAACTGATTAGATATACAACATTATAAATTAAACCCATCGAACAAATATTAATTAAGTATAATTATCGAATAATATATTAACTAACTACTAATATCCTAATTATTAGTAAATAGTATACTAAAAAATTACTAATATTATTGTTAGTAATAAGCAAAATTTGTAGTAATTCTAATTTAATAATAGAATATATCATTTATAAATATATATATATATATAAATTAATTACTACTCGCCTTTATAGTAAATCACGCTAAGATTAAATGTCCGATGTTAATTTTAATCAAATTATTAAGTGTCCTAAATCAATAAACGATAATCAACATAATATTTCAGAATTGTTTTTTTTTAGAGTGTATATAGTAGGAGATAGATAGAATGATGGATAGGGGTGGAGGGAGAGGGGTGGAGGGAGAGGAGGACAATTCCATTGTTTGGTTTGATGGATTAGAGGAGAGAGAGGAGAGATGGAAGGAGAGGTGCCCACAAATTTGGATCATTCTCTTAATAGAAGGATTCATCAAATTCCACAAATTCCACAAATTTTAAACTAAAAGTCTATTTTACTCTTTAAAAGAAATTCCTCATGCACGGCCAGACATTCAACCATATGAGGGGAAAAACGACCCCTAATTTGTCTTGTAAAACATTCCAACAATAGAGCCCTGCCCATCCTTCTCAATTCCTGCAAATCGACCAAAGGTTGAGAGAACTCAAACGGGTCCCATTAGAGCATATCCAACCATGCCACGTCTTTAGCTAAAATGGTTGGAGTGGTTCTATTTAGTAGAAAGAATGATTGAGAGAGTTGGAGGGATGAGATATGTGAGATATGAAGAGGATTATAGTAATCTTTTATGTTGTGTGATTGAGGGAGGGAGAGCTGAAATCATGAATAATAGTTGTTTATATAATTACTATATTGTCTATTTTTATATTTGTTAATAATTTATTTTGAAGGATTAACAAAGTCATTTTAATTATATTTGGGTGGACCGAGGAATGATGCAAATTGATAGGCCTAGAAAGAGACTCTCTCCCTTCTCTTTCCCTTCTTTCCCTTCCAACCAAATAAAAGATTCACTCACTTCCTCTACCACTCTTCCTCCAACCTACTCCATCCCTCCACCTCTCTTTCCTACTAAATATAGTGTTAAACTCAAATGAAAAGGTTAAGCAAAAAGAAAAGAAACTTGTACCAAGTTTTAAAACCAAATACTTAAGAGGTCGTTTGGTCGGAGAGTTCAAAGGGTTTAAACTCAGGTTCAGGTTCAAACCAGTGTTTGTTTGTAAAAAGTAAAAAAGGATTTGAACCATTGTATTACATTTAAACCCTCAAAATAAAGCCCCCATTTGTTTCACTGTTTTAATTCAATTCAACCCAGTTTGAACGGTGAACACAAATTTGAACTGAGTTAAACTGTCTAACTTATAATTTAACTCCTCCTTAAAATTTAACAATTCAAATCATTCTTAAATAGTAAAAAGTCGCACACTCTCTTTGCTTTTAACACCTACCAAATACAAATACGAATTTTATTCCCCGTTCATATTAAAATTTTAACTACACAACTAAATGTTAATTCAAACTATAATTTAAACCACGCATTTTAAATTTTTCTGTTTAAATAAAAAAGTTTAAATTAACAAGAATCATCGAACTAAATGGAGGCAAAATAATTTCTAAACTCAAATCTCTCTTTAGATTCTCAAGGTTTGAACCTAGATTCAAACCACTCTGTTTTGACCCTCATCAAACGAACCCTAAAGGTGCACTAAATAGTAAAATGATTTATTAATTAGTGAGATGGGTTTAATTTCCCTCCAATTTAGAGGAACGTTGCCGTTTTGGTGTGCCTTGGAGTCGTGAAATTGGCGCGCTTTAAACGTGAAGTAACAGCCGAGGGTACTTTATAAGAAAACCCATTTGCTTTCTTTTCACTTTTCAACATTCCTTCATAATCTCTCTCTCTCTCTCTCTCTCTCTCTCTCTCAATATCCTCTATTTCTCTCTCTATTAGTCCATTGATCAAGTTTTGCAGAACAGCGCTTTTCCTGGTAAAAACCCATCAGAACTCTCACTCTATTTCTAAGCTCTTGCTTTCCTTGCTCTTTTAAGGAAAAACCCTGTTTTTCCCCCATTTCAGTGCTATACATGGGAAAGTTTCTAATCTACTGCGTGTATCTATACATAGTTGTGTTTTTATTTGCTTCATAAGTGGAATATGCATAAAAAAGTATTTTTTTTTTCTTTTTCCTGCTTCCGAGCATGGGTGATTTGAACTTTAGTTCCAAATCTTCTTATGGTCTTTAGTTTTTATTCAATGGGTTTTAAGCTTTTTATGGGTTTTCTTCGGGTAAATCCAAATTTATTTTCATTGGAGTTTAGTTTTTTTATTTTTATTTTTTATAGAATGTTCCTTTTCTTTGTTTTTTTTTTTCCTTTCTTGTGTGGCTTTTCAACATGTTCTTGGGTATAATAGCATTTGTGTGGTTGGTAACACTCTTTGTCATAAATTTGAGCATGGAATTTATGAAAGAAACTAATTTCATCCCCAAAATCTGCGTGAAACGATTATTTTCCTTTGGGGTATCTTTTTGTTCTGAAAAAAGGAAAAAAAAATTGTATATTTGGAACACATTTTAGAGATTTTCTTGTTGGGTTATCTCTCTCTCTCTCTCTCTGTGGAAGGTTTTACCATTTCTTTTTTGCTTCTAAATCATTAGCTTCTTAGGGTCTGTTGGCATATACTTGAACCCATGATTCTAACTGCTACAGTGGTTTTCATCTCACGAAAAATTTGAATTTAAAATTTTTTCTCTCATAAGTTCCTGCCAATAAATCAGTGAATGCATGAACCAAACGGACCCTTAGAGTTCTGTCCCGCATAAATTAATTTTTCTGTAAATGACTACTAGACATGGACACTTTCCATCAGATATGAATTGAATTAACAGAATTATTACAAATTATCTTAACATGCTTTCTATCTCACTAATCCTTGGTTAGGGGACTCCTTTGATCTCAATAAACAAGAATATTTGTTATCATATGTGTTGGATTATCATATTACATTGTTTTTTGTTACACCATATAGCAATTTTTATGTTTTTTTTTTCCCCTCCATATGACTAACCCTTGGTTTCTTGCAAGTCGTCAAATTGTTTCTAAAACTTGCTTACCACATACTATTGTCTCGCCGGCCATCCTTTCCTCTAGTGATTCTTACCTCTTTTTCCACTTATGGTGATGGTATTTGCAGAAAAGAAACAAGTGGAGCTCCAAAAGTCTTTCAATGGCCATGGACTTGTCAGATGTATGTCCAACTGAGGACGCTGTTCAGGCACTTTTAGAATATTTGGTCGATCCAATGCTTCCGACAAAATCGTCTGTTCCGGGCATTGCATCACAATCTCAGCTGCAGGCAGTTGCAAAACAGGTTCTTTTTGTTCTGATAGTTTGATTTGATTTAACTTTATCTCTTAAGAAATTAATGCATTATACATCCTTCTTCATATCATGGTTTCAAGAACTAATTGAAACTATGCGTCCTCTTTCTTGGACAACTGGCATTGAAACATCAAACTCAACAATCTTGGGTATATCAGAATAAGTATATCTTCATTTCACTCCAAGTCCTTTATTTATTTATTTCATATTTATGACTCTGGCTCTCTATTTCCTGTTATTTTTAATGATACGGATATTAACCAGTCATGTTTTGTAATTGGTCTTGTGTGGCTAGTGGTTGAAGACCCTAAGTTGTTGGCGACATGTTTTCCCTTCTATTAGCTATACCCTCATACAGAATATTTACTTCTATTAATCCCTAAACATTTCCTCTAGTTTCTCTGTAAATCAAAACCTTAACATATCCGTCAAGAACAATATTTTTGTCCTTGATTTCATGTGTACAAATGCATATACTGCATGAAGTTTAGTTGTACACTTCTCTAACTATTTTTCTTTCAATTTTATTCATCTTAGGTGCATGCTGTCTTGTTGTTGTACAACTACTACCACAGGAAACAAAATCCAGCACTAGAATATTTGGGTTTCAATTCATTTTGCAAGTTGGCAGTGATTCTGAAACCTGCCTTGTTGGGGCATCTCAAATTCATGCAAATATCCAATGACAAGGAGTTGGATGACCCGGAGAACCAACTATCAGTGATGGAGAAAACCATTATGCACGCATGTGATATATCTAAAGTCTTAGATGCTTCAAGGGAAAATCCAAATGTCGAAGGATGGCCAATTACTAAAGTTGCAGTTTTCTTAGTTGACTCAAAGAAAGAGAAGTGCTTCTTACTATTCAGTTCCGTCACCCAAGGGGTTTGGTCAGTGATTGGAAATGTGGAAGTTTTACACCAAATTTCAGATAGCACGGCCGAGGCAACACAAGCGAACAAAAAGAGAGGAGTGATTCGAAAACCTTCAAGAGTCATTTCCAAGGTTGATGTAGCTGGCTTTCTCCAACTTGCATACTCTGCTGTTAAGGATGTAACCGGTATGCTTTTTCTTTGTCTGCAATGAAATAGTCTCTTGTGCCATATTTCTTGATTAAGTTGTCACTTGACACAGGATGTGCTCTGTACAAACTCTCTAGTAAACCTGTAGCATACTTGATAGATAGACCAGGTTGGATTAGTTGGTTTTTGTATTTCATTATATAAAATCTAACCGATATCTTTGGTTCAACAACTATGATACTGATCCAATCTACAAATATGAAGATTGAAATGACCCACCTAGTTCAAACGGTTGGCTCAGTGGTGAATCACTTAGGCCTAAGCCTCAGGAAGCATTAAGTCTAAGGTTCAATTCCCATTGAGTGCCATCAATTCCTTGCGCCGCGCGCGGGCCAAAGGCCCGAGATTTACCCGATCCATGTGGAGAGGGCACTTTGCATGGGTGCCATGGATTAGTCGGGGCAAAGTCTCAGACATCAGTCATTTAGTCTCCTACTTTTTAGTCTTTATATTAATTCTCCGTAATCATATTTGAGGGGCAAATGAGATTTCCTTGTTTGTTGTACGTTATGATTCTGAAAATTATATCTATACGTGGCTGTTATTTCGATCAGTCTATTTCTATTTTCTCCTTTATTTTCTTTCGTAGCTGTTCATGCTTAAATGCTTCTTTGGTGTAGGTGTTACTCAAACTGATCTTATGGTTTTGGAAGATCATCTCGTTTATTCTACGAGTAAAGAAAAGGAAGCTGCTCGGTTTTACATTATGCAGTGCACTAAATCAGTCAATGACGACATCTGTCAAGTTCCTACTAAAGATGCTATTGACAGGTTTAGCTCTCAAAAAGCCATTTCTTAGTTCTTTTTATTTTTTATTTTTTATTTTTTTAAGTGGTTATGGATGTAAAATTTAGGTAATGTTTCCTGACTTCTGTCTTACTGAATCGAAGTATATTTATAATCTGGTATGATATTTTGGCTGTACATTCCTTTATTCCATATATTTGGACAATCCTATAGAATTCTTGGGCTTGTTTGGTATTATTTTTGAAAAAAACAGTTCACATTTCTGATAAAGTTGTTTTTGGAAACGATTTCTATATAGCGTTTGTTTAAAATGTATTAAAAAATGACATATAGTTTGGAAACGGTCTCATTTTTGGTGAAGGAAATCGAAAACCCCCAAAAGTTGTTTTTCCTTTTTCCTAAAAATTTTCTAGGACTTATCATCTATGCTCTCTAAATAATTAATAGTTTAATATAATAGTTATCTACTAATATATCAATTAAGTATTAACATACTAATTATTATAAATAATATCATAGTATTACTAACATACCAATTATTGTTTATGATTACCAAAAAAAATTGTTTAAACTAATAATTATTAGTATATTACTAACATAGTAATTACTTGCACGCTAATTATTAATTATCTAGTATATTAGTTTATTAAATATATAATTTAATTACTAATATACTAGTAATTGCTATTACATTACTGATATATTAATTGAAGATTATTAATTGTTGGGTGTACTCAAGTGATATTTTCAACTCACTTCAAATATATATATATATATATATATTGAAAGTTAATTTTTGAATTTCATTAGTTGAATCAAACGTGAAGTACAAAAATAAATAGGCTGATCAAGTAATAAAATCTGATCTCCTGACTTTAAATTCAAAAACAATAAAATCTTATCCAGTTCTAAGAATTCAAATAAATAAGCCTATCCTTTTTCAATGCTGGATTCTCGAATTTAATATCAAATTGAAAAACTACTAATCTTCCGACACACACATATTATCAAACATAACCAAACACACTTTCACTTTTTTCTTTTACTCAATACAATCTCTCAAATGTACAAACAAGCACAATTTCAGAAACGGTCCTAGCATGATTCTCAAAAAAACTTCTCATTTTCATTCTCAAAAACCATGAGATGGATTAATTACTTTATTTTCTGTTCTTATTTACTCAATGGTTAAAATCTTGAGGAGTTTGAGCACTCATATGCGGTTGCATATGAACGAATGTGAATGCGGAAAATAGACCTGGCTCTTTTCCATTTGAAATCACTGGCAAGAGGTTTTGGTGGATGTTAGAACTTGTATGGGGGAGGAACATATGAAAAGTAATCATTTGTTTGTTTGGTGTAACTTTTTCCTTTTCCTTTTTTTTCATATTTTTTAAAGAAATTGGAACTTTAATTAAATGAGAAAAAAAAAAAAAAAAGTGGACGAGAGAAGCTCCCCCAAAGACCAAGGAAGCAAAGAATTACTTAAATGATAACCGACCGACCCCATCAAATCTGAAAACATACAACCCCTAAAATCTTGATTTAGTATTGATGAAGTGCATTGTAAAGATAATGATAAGAAATTGCTTTGTGTGTGCTCTTCTGATGCTGTTAATTGTTATTTTTGTCTTTGCAATTTGAGTAGCCTGCAGGGTCCTTTACTGGAAAAGAGTTCTGGCAGATGGACAGTCACGCCTGTTGTTGAGTACTTCCATTTGCTTCCTTATGCTGGGATTTTGGCAGAATGGATGCATAGGTGAGCTATTATCTTTATGCTTTATATATAGTTTAAATTTTGTATGTTTCTAACTCTGGTGGGTCCCAGGAGTTTTTTTTTTTATTTTTTTTTATTTTTTAGCTGTGGGATTTTCTGGACTTTGCATTCTGGACATGCAATCTGATAAGTAAGAACTTTTGCAAATATAATGTTGCTTTTATTATAATTTCTCTTTTTTTTTCCTTTTTTTTTTTTTTCCTTTTTTGATGTCCAATGAATGTTTAGCTAACGATACTTCTCGATAAAAAAAAATAAAAAATAAAAAATAGCTCAGCTCTATGGATATATTCCATCTGACACAGACATCTTATGTGTCAGTATAGCTTTTCAGATGACAATCTTCACAGAATTCTAAATCTCCACGCACTTATTATAACAGAACTAGACTATTCTTAGCAATAAGTTGGGGAAACTGTTGTTTTACTATGATGATAGGGATTTCGATGCAAGTATTCACTTGTTTGAATTTCCAAGATCTTGAAGATTGTAAACAGAGTTGTGTGAAAAAGTGAAATCCATATAGCCGACCCCAATTAGTTGGGATTAAGGTTTGTTATTGTTGTTGTTGTTGTGTTGAAGATTGTAAATCTTTTGAATTCTCGATTTGTTTCTATAGAAACAAAGGAGACATAATCTTTCAGGCCATTGATTTCGAGCACAAACTAGTTGTATGGTTCGTGATTCTTACATGCTTGGGAAAGTGGGAGTTCAAGGATCATATGCTTTCTATTGACCACATGCATACTTTCTTACTTTTGGTATCGTTCTGGGATTTTGCTTTAATAGAAACACCTTTGTCCTTGTTCTATCTCTGTGTGGTTAGGTCTATGTCAGTTTTGATATTTAAATTTCCTTTTTATCTGATTATCATTAGTTGGAAGGATGTAATCGGTTGTTAGTCTTTTTGTTTTCTGTTTCTGTCTTTGTGTTTGCTCTTTCTTCTGGTTTTCTTTCGTTTTGTATTTGTTTCCTGGAGGATACCTTCCTCTTTCTTTGTATTGAATTCATATCAGCATAACGTTTCTTTTTATTATATAAACGAGAGATATTTTGAAACCTAACCCCTTTGTATATGCTTCTTTTATTTTTTTCTTGAAGGAAAAGACATTCGAATAATTTACAACACTCGATGCTGGGAGAGAGCCCCGAAAGGAAGAGAAGACCTAGTGACTCAGCAATATATAAAATGCAAGATACTTCTGATGTCAATAGTGGCTTAGGAGAGGGTTGTGGCAACAAGATGTCTGCCGGCAATCTCAAGTCAGCCAAGGAGAAAGATATGATTGGCATCTCGAATACTGTCATTGCACCTCAGACCTCGGAGATTACTAAACAATACAGTGATATTTCACACACAACTCAAGTTGAAAATGACCAGAAAATGATTACTTCCAACTCTACAGGAAGTGATTTAAATGGTCAAGCAAGTGGAGTTAGTGTTAAGGTTAGGTTTCTTTAGCCACTTAACTAACACCTTATTGAGTGATATGCATTTTCCTTTGTTTTGCTGGATTGCTTTATTCCTTTTTGTTTTTTGTCAATGCATATTTACGCATCATAGAAATTAATAATGCTTTAAAAAGGATCCTCTCATGATCACTTCTCCTACTTGGTATGTCATGTGTAAGAATGCAGGGGAATCTATAGACTAATTATCTGCATTTTTCTGTGGCCACGAGTCTATGGAATGATTGCTTTATGAAGATGGTGCAATTTCTCGCTGCTAGAAAAACCGGTTGGATTTGGATCAAACAAAATGGATAAAGTTGTGTGGAAAAGTATCATGACTTCAATACTTTGGACCATTTGGTTGGATAGAAATTCCAAGATCTTTGAGGATAGAGAGATTTTTAAAGATTTTTAAAAAATGCCTTATAAAATTCCGCGCCGGGCCGGGCAGGCCCTAAACCTTTTGGGTTTAGGGCCGGGTTGGGCTGACCCTCTCTTGAAATCTCCCTTCGGGCCGGGCCGGGCGGCCCAAACTTACACCTACCTCATGATTTTATTACTTAAATGTTTTAGATTGTGACTTTTTGCTTGTTTGGTTGACCATTACAATTGAAAATATTATGATTTTAGTTAATTTAATTGTTACATCCAGATACAGGTGTTTTTGTATACACACTTATTTTATTCTAGTACGTAAGTTTAGCAAACAATAGAACATGAATTCTTTCTTTTGGAAGTTAATTCTTGATAGTTAAGTCAACGTCTGTCTGGAGTTTCGTTATTCAATTCCCCTTTCCCCTTTTTTTCATTGTGAACTTATTTATGATTCTTGGATTCCCGATTAGTGAATCCACCCTTAAAGCTCTTTATTTCATCACAAATGTTCATTTCTATAGTTTAATGTTTCTGATAAAAGTCAGCACCTTCACCTTTTCTTTTCTCACTGCATTCTTATCACACTGTAAACTTGGCAGGAATTGGATGCTTTATGTCATGCAAATGACTGGATATTACCAACCTACCACGTACGCCCGACAGAAGGTACGGTTTAGGGTTAAACATTTGAACTGTTAAATTAAACCAACTATATAATTTATAAGATATATGGGAGAGCATCAAGGTTCAATCTGTGAAGGGCTATTTTTAGCTTCAAATCATAGAAGTTTCCCTCCCTCTAACCATTAGCTATTCATTCTCCCACATTTTTACTGGCGGGTTCAGCGTTATTGCCATTATTTGAACTTGAAAACGAGTGTGAAGACAAGATTTTTCCCACTACATGTATCTTAGGGTTCGTTTGGTACGAGGATTCAAACCAGGGTGATTCTAATCATGATTCTAGAACCATAACCATGATTCATGATTTTGGGTTCAAATCATGATTCTGAAACCATGATTCAGAATCAGGGGTTTGAATCACCTTGAATCAAGAGGGGGGTGGTTTTAGAATCATGAGTGATTCTGGTTTAAAATATTACATCAGATTCCGAATCATGATTCAAAATCAGACGATTCTGAATCATGAATCATGATTCAGAATCACTGTAAACAAACACTGATTCTGAACCAAGATTCAGAATCATGATTTTGGATCCATCTACCAAACGCAACCTTAATCTACCATTCAATAAAATTTTTTTTCCCCATAATTTGCCTAGCCTCAGAGATATGGTCTTTAAACTTGTGATGCACATACAGCATTGTCATGCAGTGTGATGACTAGTGTACAAGTTTAACTCTCTTCTTTTTTACCCCTTTCATTAAAGGTGGATTCAAAGCTAATGTGACCATAAAAGGGGCAGATTTTGATTACTCAAGTGAAGGTGACTTGCATTCCAATCCTCGCGAAGCAAGAGAATCGGCTGCAGCACTGATACTGCGGAAACTGCAAAGTCGTGCTTGTAGGTTGATTTAGCTAAAAGACATGGGATGCCATTCTCACTCAAGAAACATCTAAACCATAGAAGTTCCTCTCTCTTTGGATTTTGCATTTTGGGACATGATGCCGTAGGTGCAAGTTAAAAAGGACATGTGATATCTCAACTAATATAGTCTACTACGTCAAGAAAGAATGCTTAAATCTTTTGACATTACCAACAAAAATGTGCACCAAACTACGCAGCACCGCCATTCGCAACTTGTGGGGTAGCGCAACGTTGCGAGTCAAAACTCGCACCGCACGCTGTCTGCTTGGTTGAGATTGGGTTGATAGTCATGACTAGTCGGCTCTGGCTATGTTACTAACTTCTGTCTCCCATTTGAGTTGCTTAACTGAGTGGGAAATTCTAGCTGATAGTCATGTTTACTAAAAGTTTAAGGCAAATGGCCAATCTAAAAATTTTTGAAGTAAATGACTTTATTTTATTTCATTTTTGTGAAGAAAAGGACCAAAATGGAGAAATTGTCCAGATGGCGTTTCCTTCGTGAGCTTTGCTTCGTCAGGATGGGTGACAACATTCTGCTTAACCGAGCTCTTCAATTCAATGTTAACGTAGTTGTGCCAGAAATGTTTAAATCAATTCAATGTTTATTTATCTTTTTTTTCTTTTTAGGAAGATTTTGTTAATATGATATAATTTATGGTCAAAGGTGTTAACTGTTTTAATTTTGTTAATGTTGACTAATTGAGTGGATTTATATATATATATATATATATAAATATATATAGGACCCGTATACTCAAA